CGTCCCCCCAGAGGCTCTGCCTCCCTCACATTGCATGAGGCTTGGGCTTTTATACTGACCAAAATGCACACTCATTCCGACCCAGGTGGCCAGCCTATGTTGGAAGAAGTAGCCAGCAGTATTTATAAAGGTCTCCAAAGGTCGCCAGAAACCTGGACATACCTATTTTTACCAGCTTCTACTACATGAGTATCACAGAGAGAATGTATTAAATGAATTGTATATGGGGTCATAAGTCCTCAGTCCATCACAGTCTGCCCGATACTCCTGATAAGAGCATACGAGAGACCTTCCCACTGCAGGTCTTGATGCAGAACTTTAACGTAAAAAAGGTTGCTCCCTTCACTTTAAGGACTGAAACCATCCATAAAACGGATGTCCTAAGATCAAATTTCAATTCATTCAATCACTGACAAGGGGGGTGTCCTGGGGCAGTAATTTGTCACATCTAACACATTTATCTGCAAAACCAGTAACCCCACCGTGGGGGGGGGGCGGGGGGAGGGGTTGCTGAACTAATTTTCTTTACAGTACACTGTTTCTTTTTACAATGTCCCATCCGTCCGCAATTATAACACCTCATACCTTTAGCACCCCCACAGTCGCCCTAACCTTATTGTAGAAGGGGTTTAACAGCACTGGCAAAGGCAGTAGCCATGTATCCAGCCTTTTCCTCTGCTGTGATCACTTTAAATCATATCTGAAGGTGGGGAGTAAGCAACAATTGAGCTATTATACAGATATCATATGGTGCTAAGATATATGCAGAAAAAATATGTTCAGTAATTGCCTCAGTATACAATGATTTTAACCCGTAGGATGTTACCGGTTGACGTGCCTCCTTTACTACCTTTAAATCCAATGCCTCCCACTCCTTTCCCCCCTGTGGAGTGTTAAACACCAGGAATGCCGAGGGACCCATAGCCGAATATTCCCCCATAACAATTGCATCTTTGATCATCCCACCACAACCTTTATTACCGTAATCCCCTACCCTGTGCCCAACACCCCCCTCCCACTCCCCTTTCTTTACTACTGGATTGTAGGAGGGTGGGGCAGAGGGTTCGGAGGTTTCTTTTGTCTCCAATACTTTAATTTCTTCAGCAGCTGTCGCAGTTGACCGTCACTGAGGCTGGTTCACATCTGCCGACGAGCCGAACTGGCTGAACCGTCTGAGTCGGGGTCAGGAAGGGAAGGGTACAAGTCCGGTTCTGACGGAGACTCTGGGTCTGGTTCCAGTTCCAATTCGGCGTCTTCTTCCTCTAGGTCGAAGGTGACCACGTTTGCACTCTCTGCCTGTACTTTCGGACATGAGCGCTGTTTCACTTTATCTTCCCCATTACGCTGAGGAGGCTTCTGTGATGCCGTGCCAGGCACACTGGGGGGGGGACAAATACCATAGAGGCAGCACTCTTCTCTACCTCTGACTGACTTAGTGAAGGAGCAGTGGCCAGGAAAACAGATGCCACTGCTGCCTGTTCCTATTTCATTTTCTTTAAAATCTCAATTATCCATCTCCATAACGTAGAATACTTCAGGGCTTCCTTTGTCCCTTTACTAATCTCATCCCACAACGCCAGGCCTATATGTTCCCAAAGCAAGTATTGAGAGGGTGTTAAAGCTAAACGGGCTAGTGACATTCAATCATTAGGTGTCATAACCTCTGACCCAAAAACATAAGACAAAAGATGTCTCACTGGTTCAGAGTGAAGCCCATACTGAGAGACAGTAGCCCGCAGCTGCTGCATTAGCTTCCAGTCGAAAGGACGCCACTGTGCCCTGGGCTGTCCCTGGGGTGTTGTTATGGTCTGAACTGGGAATGCCAATGCCGATGCTGCTTGCCACTCACCCTCCAAAATGGCATCTCTGATAACCCCAGACCAACAACTATTTGCTGCAGTGGGTTTCACTAATACCCCATTAGTAGTTGTCACCTGGACATCCCCCACGGGAATTCCACCCATCTCCCTTATTCCCTTTCCAATGTCCATTACAGATCTATCTGAGGGTCCTGACTTTTGAGGGGAGAGGGGTCCCGGGGTGGTCTTAGGGGGTTCTCTTGGTACGCCGTTGGGTTCCGAATCGATGTCAGACTCGTCTGTCACATAATGCGGGCGAGTTTCCCGAGGACGAGAGTTGGGGCCCCTTGGTGTGGGTTCGGGGGGGGCGGAGGGGTCTCCCTTTCCCCTGCCTATGAGGGTTTCTGCAGAACTTTATCAGTTTCCTTGGCCACTTCTTCAGGTGTGTCCTTAATAGGGATAACACCTTTGGCTGTATCGGCCGATAGATGGTCAAAAACATGTGTATCAGGCAGGGGGGCCCTTCTGATCCAAACAGCTTAGTAGCTGCCATAGCCATCCTCTTCTCTGCCACCATCTGCTGCAGCTGATTTATGACCTCCCTCCAGGTGACCCCCAGGTCTTTAGCAGACTTATTCCCCCCTATGGTAGCGTCCCACAAAGAGTCCCCAGTTTCCCTCCATTCAGCAGTGCTGAACATTAGCTGTGGGTCCTTAAGATGTCCTTTCTCCTTCGCCCACGGACATAGCTCTCTGAGCTTTTTCGTGCTCACACCAGCCTCTCGCTTAGCAAGTAATTGTTCTAACAGTGTGAGTGCCGCCTCTCGATCCATGGTGGATTTTAGAGCGCGGTCTTACCCGTGCAGGTGTGGGTGCGCAGGCCACATCAGCTGTCCCTCCTAGCCGAGCTTCACTGCTTTTGCCAGTAGCCGAGCTGCGCCGCTTTTGCGAGTAGACGCTTCCTGCACCGCCGGCTCCTCGCTTCCCCCGTCTGTGCCTTTGCTGCAACGGCCGGGCACAGTTTGGAGAAGTCCGAGTCCAAACTCGAGTCCCCGTTCGGGCGCCAAATGTCGGAGGAGCGACCCGAATCAAGAAGAGAATCCCAATACGAGTTACGCTTCTTGTTCAATTTATTGCACAGGCTCACCTAATTTATACCATTGGTGATAGTTTACGTGACAGCTGTACATCTTTCATTGGCTACATAAACCTGTCCACGCGCCTGTCTATACGTTGCTATTGGCTAAGCTAAGTCTTACACACATAGCTCTGCAACAGCAGGGTGCGTGCCTTGTGATAAGCGGTGCATTCCTTGTGGCCAGCAAGCTCCTGTTGCAGCGTTCTGCTTACATTTCTTCGACTCCAGGCCTCCCCGGCTCAGCTGAGTCAGAGAGAGTTCAAGGCTGTCTCACTCGGCTCTAATCCTGGGTTGTGCAGGCCCTCATGAGAATAACCATTGCTCCAAAGGGAGCTGGTGTCTCCACTACTGGAGAGTGGTGTCCTATGTGGCTTTACAGAGATGGACTTCTAGTTGTGTAAGTAAGTGGGAATAGCCAAGTCGGTGGCACTGTGTTGGAGGGCACTGTGTCTGGGACATGCCCAGCTATTTGGGTTTAAACTAACACATTAGATTTAGGAGTAAGATCTGGACATTCACACTTACAGAGCTTGGTTCTATGGTCCCTTAGAGTGCACTCTATTTAGGCAGGTTGCAGATGTATTTGTATGTCGCTAAGCAAGTGTGGATTGCCATATTGGTGGCACCATTCCGGAGGGCTCCCTGTGTAGGTGATGGGCAGCACGAGCTTTCTGTCCTGGCACATCGGGTGCCAGAGCAGGTTCTGGATGTTTGTAGTCTGTGAGCCATGTTCTGGGCCACCTGTGTGCATTCAGCAGAGGGGCAGAATGCAGATGGTGGTTTAGGTGGCAAGCAAGGTCTCTTTGCCATGTTGGCGGCACCGTTCTGCAGGTCTCCCTGTGTAGGTGATGCTCAGCAACTGCCTCTGTCCTGGCGCTATGTGCTTGGGAACAGCGGCTGGATGTTTGCACTGTAGAGCCATGCTCCAGCACACCAAAGTGATGCAGCAGAAGGTCAGTACAGCAGTGGTGTTTAAGGTGGCAAGGCAAGGGCAGATTACCATGTTGGGGGCACCTTTCCAGAGGTCCCCACGTGTAGGAATTAAGTTGATATTTCTGTAAGTCCTCATGAACCCCACTGGATTATTTTTGGTGGGCTTTAGATACAGAGTGAGCAGTGAGAAGAGTGGGAGCAAGGTGCTCACAAGTGGGCTTTGCTGCCCTTAGCAGGCACCAGAAGGTTCTCTGAAGCTGCTGATTGTTCTGGGAGAGCTGGGCTTGGAGAGGAAGGTGTGCAGGGAGCTGGCTTCATTGTATTGTGCTTTCCTGAGATGAAAAGTATGAGTTGAATTTGGCTTTGCTTTGGGAAGAAAGGCATTTTGGTTTTGTTGGAGTGCTGGGAATGCTGGGGTCTGCTGATGTATACGGGCTTCTCCTTGGCTTCTCCACTTGCTGCCTTGAGCCCTCTGTGTGCTTATGAGGGAGAGTTTAGTGCTGCCTTCTTCCTTGAGGACTAAGAACAACAGCATGGCAGAGAAAGGAGATAAGGAAAGGTGGAAGGAATTTGCCTGCTGGCCTTAGAATGGTATGCAGAAAGAAAGTTGGCTCTTTTCTGAAGGTCTTAAACCTCTGAATAATTAGCTTGACCTGGCATGACGGGAATGGTGTGGAATAAAGGGTGGATTCTGTCCTGGTTTTCACTGGGCTAGAATTGATCATCTTCCCTGTGGCTGGCGCAGTGCTGTGTTCTGGCTTGGTTCTGGGAATCACGCTGGTACCACACCGATGTTTTAGCTGTTGCTCAGTAGCACTTTGGCTGAGCAAGGACTTTCCAGTCTCTCCTGCTCTGCCAGTAAGGAGGGGCACGGGAAGCCACGAGGAAGCCGAGGCAGGACACGGGGTGTATAAACTGGGGGGAGTCACACAGAAGGCCCAGATCGCTGCTCGGGTCAGGCTGGGTGTCGCTGAGCGAGTGCTGAGCAATTGCATTGTGCATCACTGCTGGTTCGTGTTTCCCTTTTCCCTGTCTCGTTCCAGAGGAGCAAAGTTGGTTGGAGTGCTGTTCCTAGTGATGAGATTTGACTTTTTGTCTTGTTGCTGCAGGTTTCGTTTTTAACTTCTTGTCATGAGTTTGTTCTTGGGGCCGGGAGCGGGGAGCGGCAGAGGGGACCGGCGGGGCTGGGGGCCCGGGGAGCCGCTGCGGACCCGGCGGGCTCTGGCGGTGCTGCGGGAGCAGCTGTGCCGAGGGGGTGACGGGGCCCGGCGTTGCTCGGGCCGGCGTCGCTCCTCCAGCACGGGCCGATGGGGCCGGGCAGAGTGCGAGCGGCCGGTGCGTCCGTTGTCGGGGAGCGCCATGGAGGACCAGCGGCTGCCCAGCCCTGTCAACCCCAGCCACTTCCCGGCCACGCTCTGGCAGTTGGTGAACAGCCCTTGCTGCGGCTCCGTGTGCTGGGATGCCCGTGGCGAGGGGCTGCTCATCGACCAGCGGCTCTTCGAGCGAGAGCTGCTGGGCGCGGAGGTGGCCGGCGAGGGGTCAGCGCTGGGCGCCCAGGTCTTCAGGACCAGGAACTTCGCCAGCTTCATCCGACAGCTGAACCTGTAAGGGTTCCGCAAGCTGGGGCCGGGCCCCCTGCAGGACCCGGCGGGGGGGCGATGGCGGCAGCTCCGCCGGGCCCTTGCTCCACTTCCACAGCCCCCATTTCCTTCGCGACCGCCCCGAGCTCCTCGTGTGCCTCAAGCGTCTGACAACCACCAACAAGGCGAAGCTGGCGGCCGGCCTGGAGCTGCCTAGCCGCCCGCTCCAGCGCTCCCAGCGCCCACCCTCGATGCTCGGCGAGGCTGCCAGGCCCGGTGAGCTGGGGTGGCTCCGGGCTGAGAAGCATTGGGTGCTCTGGGGTTTGGAGATCAGCATCCCCACAGGGAGCAGGGTTGCCTGACCTCGCTGGCGGCCGCTCAGCTCCACCGGTGTGGGAAAGTGGCTGTTGGTCATGCAGGGAGATGTGCTGCCAGCAGGCACAGGGAGCGAGGTTCGCGTGTGGTTCTGTCTGCCCCTAGGCTGCAAGACAGCCTCTGTCGGGGGCTGCAGTAAGAGCACCCTCACCCTGTCTCTGTGGAGCTGGCACAGCCCTACCAGATGGACGTTACTTCTCCTTGAAGGGTTGCGCCATAAGCTGTCCTTAAATCTCTGTGAAGCAATGGGTAACCGTATGACGGCAAGTACCATTCCATGTGTCATGGTTTAACCCAACCAAACAGCTTGTTCACTTACTCCCAGTGAGTGGTGCCAGGCTGGAAGCAATCGAGGCCCACGTTAGTCCGCCCCCCCCTTCCCCAGGGGCTGCCGCCCCCTTTCCCCGCTCCCAGAGGGGTGGGGAGGAGAATCGGAGGAATGCAACTCCCACGGGCTGAGATAAGAACAGCCTAGCAACTAATGTAAAATACAAATCACCACCGCTACCACCAACGACAACAATGATAAGAGCAAATAGCAAAGGAAAGGAGTACAATACCACGCTCCGAACCACCAGTCCGACCCGGCCGACCCCCTCTCCTTCCGGGTACCTCCCAGTTCCCCCCTGGGCATGACGTGCTGTGGTGTGGAATACCTCTTTGGTCAGTTTGGGTCAGGTGTCCTGTCTCTGCTTCCTCCCGGCTTCCCCTCCTCCCTGGCAGAGCATGAGGCTCACAAAGTCCTTGGCCAAACCAAAACATCATGTTTATCAGCTCTGTTCCCAGCCCGAAAGTCAAAACACAGCACTGCACCAGCTACCAAGAAGGAGAAAAAATGACTGCTGCTGCTAAACCCAGGACACCATGAAACCGTAACTGACTGAGAGGAAACCAGAGAAGATTAAAGGGAATATCTTGGAAGGCACAAAACGGCAAAGTCTGAGCTTTTTTAGACTCAACTGAACCTGTTGAGCTACCTGGAAGAAAGCTGGCTTTGGCTTTGTTTTCCTTGACAAACTGAATGACTTATGATCAAGTGCTCTCAGAGTCACGCTTAGCATTTGGACATTGCCCTTGCCTTGGCTGCCTGTGTGCTGTCAGCACTGGAGTTTTTTAGAGCCGTGCTTCGTGATTCCCCCTTTATTTTACCTTACTGCCTGATGTAACGCACACTACCTCCTAAATGGCTTGGGCCGGTTTAGTCATTTTGATTTATAATAGCACATTTCTAAGTAATGGTCACTTGCTCCTGAGGGCTTCAGGAGACTGAATGCTCCAGAGGCGACTGTGTGTTGGCACGACACTGATGTTCCTGTGTGTTCAGGTGTTAGTGCTGCAGCAGTTACTGTATGCTTAGGTGTAAGAATAAAGTCTGTTTCTGGATTAAGAGTATTGGAGCAAAGGTGGTATTGGAGCAAAGGTGGTCTTCCCAGGAACATTGTGCAGCCTTGGCTCCTCATCCTGCCTTTCAGAGTTAGTGAAAACTTAATCCTTGTTTTGCTTTGTTTTGCAGGACTGTTGACTGTAGGACAGGCTCCTCAACCTTGTCATCCAGACAGCTTCTTTCCTTCCTCCAACAGAGCGGCCTCAGGCCAGGACCCCCCTGCTTTCCAGGCAACGACTTCCTAGCAGCCTGCAGTCCTTCCCAGACCATGGCAGGGCTCTTTTGGGTCGCTGCCAGGGCACTGGGCTTCCCCAGCTTTCCCAGGCCAGGGGGCTCCCTTTCCTGTCCTCCACAAGTGTTCCACAGAGGTCACGTACACTCTGCAGACGGTGTTCTCACTTATGCCGCTTCAGCGAGAGCCTCCAGCTGGTGCTTCCCTTCCAGAACCCAGCAGCTGCGCGTCTCCAGGACAGCGCTTGCAAGCCCTGGATCCAACACGTACGGCAAAAGTTCTTCACTTGCTGCTCAAGAAGTTACAGCAAAGTGATGCTTGAAATGTTTTTCCCCAGTGCTCTGTCACAGTGTGTGTATCTGACGTGTGTGCTTCCAGTAAGATGTGTGTTCCCTGTCCGTTACTTGCTACCAGCCGGTGACAGAATGTGCTTTAGCTGCTCATTTCTTCTGGCTCTGATGAGATGAACTGTATCAGAGACAGAAGAGCTTAGAAATGCCTTCTCTGCAATGAGCAGGGAAGTACAAAAGTGTGTGGGTGAAGCAGGTGTGTGTGGAATCTTGATTCAGCTCTCAAGTCACACTTGTACCATTTAATTACTGTGAACTTTAGGAGAAATATGTTTTAAGGTGGAGAACACAGTCTTACAATCAGTGGGGAGGTCATAATCCATTTCAGGGAGTTAGCTTACGGAGCGGTTACTGCAGTGTTTAATGCAAGTAAGCAATAGAACTGTGCACCCTGGGCACCAGTTCTGGCAGTCTGATCCCTGTGTTTGAATTTTGCAGTCACCCTGCAGTGTTCACCCCCTGCCCAGGGAGCACCTCTGACTGTCAGCGCCAGTGCTGCGGCTGCGGCGTCCACCGACTGCGTCTTTGTGCAGGTGAGTGCAGGGCACAGCGAGCAGGGGGAAGGGAGGAGAGCCCACGCATGGACCGCAGGGTTCTGGGCTTGCGGCAGGAAGGAGAGAAGTTTGGGACTGGATCTGCTGTAGAAAGGGAAAGTAACGTGGTTTGCCAATGCCCATTTCAAAGCACGGCTTTGAAACATGAAGGGGTCAGTGCTGTAACGCAGGTAAGGTTTCAGGGCAGCGGCATAGTGGGTGTCCTCATCGGCGGAGTGGTTTTTCCTGGAAAAGTGTTACGTTTGACTTCACCATAATTCGCTTTAGCTCCTGAGTCTCCATTTGTCTTTGAAGAAAGCCCTTGCCTGCACAAAATGGGATTCTTTAATGTTATGATACTGGGAATCAGCTCCACTTCTGTGCCCCAGACAGCTTGTGGCAGTCCTGAGTTTCAGTGGATGCATGAGAAGAACCAAGCTGACTTTTGGAATTGGCCCCAGCTCAGAGCTGTCCTATCTGGGAGAGCTCCAGTGCTTCCTGTCAATGCTTGCTAAAATTCTGGTGGAAATTGCACCTCATTGGGTGGCCTGGCTTATCAAATAGCAAAAGAACCTCAGTGAAAATGCCAGAGCTTCCTTTCACATTCTAGCAGCATGTATATCCTTTTTTTCCTGAGAGGGGATAAGCAAAGCAAACTCTGCTGGTGTGTGCTGAAAAAGGGTTGGCCTGCACAGTCCTCAGGAGCAGTAAAATCCATCAGCCCTGACTGAAAATGGTGGTGATTTTTTGATCTAGAAATTCCCTGTATTTTGTTTCTCGCAGAGTCCTGAAGTGCAGCCACCTCCTGCAGCTGAATGCCTGCCCTCTGATGGCGCACAGCACACATCTGAGAATGAGGAGAAGCTGCCGGAATTAAGTTATGAAGATGTATTTCAGTTTTTCAGTGAGATGAATGCATCAGGCAGCGCAGATGCAGTGACACCGGAGGCTGCAGAAAGCTGGGGTGGAGAGCTGTTTGAAAGCTACATCAATGCGGCCAAAGAAAGTGCCGCTGCTGCTGACACGGCACAAGAGTTTGTGACCACCCAGGGAGCCCCTGAAGAACAGGGAGAAGAGCTGGATCACAGCCCAGCTCAACCATCCGAAATGTTTGTTGTGGAAGCGCTGTTTAGTGCAGAGCAAGTAAGTGCTAAAAGGAGGTAAAACTCCTTGGGAAAGTGTTGAGTGGTCTTTGGGTTTATTTCATTTTTTGGTGTGTTTATTTAAAGGAGAATGGGAGTCTTACATGCGGATGGGTGACGGAAGAGAGAGAGCTGACTCCAGGACCCAAGGCAGTGAAGAAAGCTGCAGAAGAGGCAGGGTCCCCTGCAAAGCATCTGTGCAGGAAGAGAAGACGCAGCGCAGAGCAGGGTAAGTCCCTGCTAAGAGATGCTACATGTTTTAGAGGTGGGCAAGACAGGTGCTCTGAAACTCTTCCAGGAAGGGGAGATCACAAGAGCTGAGTTATTGTCTGCAGTGTAAGTACCTCCCCGGGCCTTCAGGTCAACTATTGCACTCGTACGAGCTCTTGGCGTACTTGCCCACACGCTTCTATACGTAAGCTGGTGCTGAGGACTCCTAGGTGGACAAGGGAATAAATTCTATGCGTCAATAAAAGCTGAAGCAGTGGGAGTTGTGTCAGAGCCCCGCATGTCACAGTACACAGCACTGAGATGCAGGCTGTGGATATGTTTGCTGGAGGGTGACAGTGCCACAAAGGGAACACTGACTAATGAGGTGACTGTTGAAGTAAGAGGGGAAAACCCCACCACGCTGCCGAAGTGAGGGCACGAGTGCAACCTTTCTGGCTCAGATCACTAAAGAAATTTCACAGCAGCCTGCTGATAGGTGTGCTGCATCTGTGTGCACAGCACCTGTGTGCTGCAACAGAGGAGAAAAACAGCCTCAGATTTTCAAGTCGCAGGCCGCCTTTGGCCGGATTTGACTGTCCCTGATGGCAGCAGAGTTGCTGTGCGTGCTGCCAGGTGAGCCACAGGCAGGGCCTGATACTTCCTCGGTGTTGTTTGCTTCCTAGATCACCAGGAGCCGGAAGGCGGAGCCTGGAAGCGGGGCTGCTTCTGGAGGGAGACACCAGAGTGAGGAGCGTGGGAACAGGCGGAGCAGCTGGTTCCCTCCTGCGAGTTATACCATTTAATTATAGCTTATTTATAGCTTTATTCCTAAATTTCTATCTTATTTATAGCCTTATAAATTTATATCTTATTTATAGCCTTATTTATATATTTGTAGCATATTTATAGCTTTATTCCTAAATTTCTATCTTATTTATAGCCTTATTTATAAATTTATAGCTTATTTATAGCCTTATTTATATATTTATCTTATTTATAGCTTTATTCCTAAATTTCTCTCTTATTTATAGCTTTATTCCTAAATTTCTATCTTATTTATAGCCTTATTTATATATTTATAGCTTATTTATAGCTTTATTCCTAAATTTCTATCTTATTTACAGCCTTATTTATAAATTTATAGCTTATTTATAGCTTTATTTAGAAATCTATACCTTATTTATAGGTTTATTCCTAAATTTTTGTCTTATTTATAGACTTATTTATAAATTTATAGCTTATTTATAGCTTTATTCCTAAATTTGTATCTTATTTATAGCCTTGTTTATAAATTTATAGCTGATTTATAGCTTTATTTCTAAATTTCTACCTGATTTATAGCCTTATTTATATATTTATAGCTTATTTATAGCTTTATTCCTAAATTTGTATCTTATTTATAGCCTTGTTTATAAATTTATAGCTGATTTATAGGTTTATTCCTAAATTTTTATCTTATTTATAGCCTTATTTATAAATTTATAGCTTATTTATAGCTTTATTCCTAAATTTCTATCTTATTTATAGCCTTATTTATATATTTATAGCTTATTTATAGCTTTATTCCTAAATTTGTATCTTATTTATAGCCTTATTTATAAATTTATAGCTTATTTATAGCTTTATTCCTAAATTTGTATCTTATTTATAGCCTTATTTATATATTTATAGCTTATTTATAGCTTTATTCCTAAATTTGTATCTTATTTATAGCCTTATTTATATATTTATAGCTTATTTATAGCTTTATTCCTAAATTTGTATCTTATTTATAGCCTTATTTATATATTTATAGCTTATTTATAGCTTTATTCCTAAATTTGTATCTTATTTATAGCCTTATTTATATATTTATAGCTTATTTATAGCTTTATTCCTAAATTTGTATCTTATTTATAGCCTTATTTATATATTTATAGCTTATTTATAGCTTTATTCCTAAATTTGTATCTTATTTATAGCCTTATTTATATATTTATAGCTTATTTATAGCTTTATTCCTAAATTTGTATCTTATTTATAGCCTTATTTATATATTTATAGCTTATTTATAGCTTTATTCCTAAATTTTTATCTTATTTCTAGCCTTATTTATATATTAATAGCTTATTTATAGCTTTATTCCTAAATTTCTATCTTACTTATAGCCTTATTTATAAATTTATAGCTTATTTATAGCTTTCTACCTAAATTTTTATCTTATTTATAGCCTTATTTATATATTTATAGCTTTATTCCTAAATTTGTATCTTATTTATAGCCTTATTTATATATTTATAGCTTATTTATAGCTTTCTTCCTAAATTTCTATCTTAGTTATAGCCTTATTTATAAATTTTATATCTTATTTACAGCTTTATTCTTAAATTTGTATCTTATTTATAGCCTTAGTTATATATTTATAGCTTATTTATAGCTTTATTCCTAAATTTTTATCTTATTTATAGCCTTAGTTATATATTTATAGCTTATTTATAGCTTTATTCCTAAATTTGTATCTTATTTATAGCCTTATTTATAAATTCATAGCTTAATTATAGCTTTATTCCTATATTTGTATCATATTTATAGCTTTATTTAGAAATCTATACCTTATTTATAGGTTTATTCCTAAATTTTTATCTTATTTATAGCCTTATTTATAAATTTATAGCTTATTTATAGCTTTATTCGTAAATTTGTATCTTATTTATAGCCTTATTTATAAATTTATAGCTTATTTATAGCTTTATTCATAAATTTGTATCTTATTTATAGCCTTATTTATATATTTATAGCTTATCTATAGCTTTATTCCTAAATTTGTATCTTATTTATAGCCTTATTTATATATTTATAGCTTATTTATAGCTTTATTCCTAAATTTGTATCTTATTTATAGCCTTATTTATATATTTATAGCTTCTTTATAGCTTTATTCCTAAATTTCTACCTTATTTAGAACCTTACAAATGTATATCTTATTTATAGCCTTATTCATAAATTCATATCTTATTTATAGCTTTATTCCTAAATTTGTATCTTAATTATTGCTTTATTCATAACTTTGTATTTTATTTGTAGCTTTATTTAGAAATTTATGTGTTATTTATAGCTTTATTTAGAAATATCTATGCTATTTATAGGTTTATTGAGAAATTTATATGTTATTTATAGCTTTATTTCTAAATTTGTTATTTATAGCTTTATTTCTAAATGTGTGTCTTATTTATTGCGTTATTCATACGTCTGTGTGTTATTTATAGCTTTATTTATCAATTTATGTGTTATAACTTTAAAAATTTATGTTATTTCTAGCTTTAATCATAATTTTGTATCTTATTTAGATCCTTATAAATTTATAAGTTATTTATAACTTTAGTCATAATTTTTATCGGATTTAGAGCTTTATTCATTGATTTGTATGCTATTTATAGCTTTATTTCTAAATTTGTGTGTTATTAATAGCCTTATTTATAAATTTATATCTTATTTATGGCTTTTTTCCTAATTTTGTTTCTTATTTATAGCTTTATTTAGAAATTTATGTGTTATTTATAGCTTTATTTATGAATATCTATGCTATCTATAGCTTTATTTAGAAATTTATGTTATAGCTTTAGTCATAAATTTGTATCTTATTTATAGCTTTATTTAGAAATTTGTCTTATTGCTTTATTCATGTCTGTAGCTAATATCTTTATTCATCAATGTATGTGTTTATAATATAGCTTTATAAAGTTATGTTATTTCTAGCTTTAGTCATAATTTTGTATCTTATTTAGAGCGTTATTCCTAACCATGAATCTTATTTTTAGCTTTATTTATAAATTTATGTGTTATTTAAGGCTTTATTGGTAAATATCTATGTGATTTATAGCTTTATTTAGAAATCTGTGTTATAGAGTTTGTCCTAAATTTGTATGTTATTAATAGCTTTATTTATAAATTTGTATCTTATTTATTGCTTGGTTCATAAGTCTGTATCTTATTTATAGCTTTATTCATCAATGTATGTGTTATTTATAGCTTTATAAATTTATATGTTATTTCTAGCTTTAGTCATAATTTTGTAGCTTATAGCTTTATAAATTTATAAGCTATTTATAGCTTTAGTCATAACTTTGTATCTTATATAGAGCTTTATTCATAAATTTGTCTTATTTATAGCTTTATATATAAACAGCTATATATATAGCTTTATTCCTAAATTTGTATCATATTTATAGCTTTATTTAGAAATCTATACCTTATTTATAGCTTTATTCCTAAATTATTATCTTCTGCATAAATTTATAGCTTATTTATAGCTTTATTCCTAAATTTGTATCTTATTTATAGCCTTATTTATAAATTAATATCTTATTTATAGCTTTATTCCTAAATTTTTATCTTATTTATAGCCTTATTCATATATTTATAGCTTATTTATATCTTTATTCCTAAATTTCTATCTTATTTATAGCCTTATTGATAAATTTATAGCTTATTTATAGCTTTATTCCTAAATTTCTATCTTATTTATAGCCTTATTTATAAATTCATATCTTATTTATAGCTTTTTCCTAAATTTGTATCTTAATTATTGCTTTATTCGTAACTTTGTATTTTATTTGTAGCTTTATTTATATATTTATGTGTTATTTATAGCTTTATTTAGAAATATCTATGCTAGTTATAGCTTTATTTAGAAATTTATGTTATTTATAGCTTTATTTCTAAATTTGTTATTTATGGCTTTATTTCTAAATGTATGTCTTACTTATTGCGTTATTCATAAGTCTGTATGTTATTTATAGCTTTATTTATCAATTTATGTGTTATTTATAGCTTTAAAAATTTATGTTATTTCTAGCTTTAACCATAATTTTGTATCTTATTTAGAGCTTTATAAATTTATAAGTTATTTATTGCTTTAGTCACAATTTTTATCATATTTATAGCTTTATTCATAGATTTGTATGCTATTTATAGCTTTATTTCTAAATTTGTGTGTTATTTATAGCCTTATTTATAAATTTATATCTTATTTATAGCGGTATTTAGAAATGTATGTGTTATTTATAGCTTTATTTATGAATATCTATGCTATTTATAGCTTTATTTAGAAATCTGTGTTATAGATTTTGTCCTAAATTTGTATGTTATTAATGGCTTTATTTATAAATTTGTATCTTATTTATTGCTTGATTCATAAGTCTGTATCTTATTTATAGCTTTATTCATCAATGTATGTGTTATTTATAGCTTTATAAATTTATGTTATTTCTAGCTTTAGTCATAATTTTGTATCTTATTTATAGCTTTATAAATTTATAATCTATTTCTAGCTTTAGTCATAATATTGTACCTTATATAGAGCTTTATTCATAAATTTATGTGTTATTTATAGCTTTTTTATTTATAAACATCTATCTTACTTATAGCTTTATTTAGAAATTTATATGTTATAGTTTTTGTCATGAATTTGTATGTTATTAATAGATTTATTTATTTATAAATTTGTGTTATTTATAGCTTTATTTAAAAATGTATGTTATATATAGCTTTAGTCATAAATTTGTACCTTATTTATTGCTTTATTTATAAATTTGTATCTTATTTATTGCTTTAT